TTATTTGAAAATAAAATGCGGATGGTGTTTATATATTTTTTTAAATCTATATATTTTTACTTTAGTGTGTTTAGAAAAATACAACGGATACTCATTGGATACCCAAATCCATGAGGGTTTAGGTTTGGACTTGTCTTTTCAGACCCATAAGGGTCTGGATTTAACTAAATTTAATGTGTCTAGATCTGAATTAAATGATCAAATCCAAACCTTACCCATTGATATGCCTAAGCACAATGATCTAGGATTAGAATGTCTTGAGTCTCATCACTCAGTCACAACTATTTAAGGAAATACATTGTTGCTCATATATATATATATATATATATACATATAAAATATTTTGGTCTATTATTCTTCTATACTCAACATCAGTAACACTAATTATTGTGCTCCAAATTTCAGAAATTCCACTTTAGTGATAAGTACAGGGGATAAATCGGGAAGATTATTAAAGTTTGATCCAAAAACTAATCAAGCAACAGTTCTACTCAATAATCTCATGCTTCCAAATGGGGTGGCACTCAGCAAAAACGGTGATTTTCTGCTAGTTGCTGAAACTACAAATTCTAGAATACTGAAGTACTGCCTTGAGCCATCAAAAGCTGGTACAGTTGAAATCTTTGCAAAACTTCCAGGAAGACCAGATAACATCAAAAGAAACCAAAAGGGTGAATTTTGGGTTGCAGTTATATCACTGGATACCAAGGTTAATCCTTACGGATCGATAGTTAAATTGAGTCAAAATGGTGATATATTGAAGATATTGGAGGCTGGAAATGGAGAGGCATGGCGATATGGTAGCGATGCGAATGAACAGAATAAAAATTTATGGATAGGATCTTTTACAGAACCTTATGTTGCCAAGCTAAAAATCTATTGCTAGGCCAGTTGAAAAATTTGCATTATCTCAAGTGTTTTATCACTTAATTGGTTATTGCAAGAACCTTTTAGTACTTTTTTCTTTTTCAATAAAGACAAAACAGTGTCAAATTTGTTTATCATCGTTGTATTGCTTCACTGTTTAACAGCGTTTCTTCTCTTTTCAAACAAAGGAATGTCAAACTTTTTACATTCTTTGTGGTATTTTTACATAGCTAATGATTTTGGCATTCGATAAAATGCTTCAAACACTTCACTCTCTTTGAAAATGACATATAACATCTACCACCTAAAAGCTCTAAAAATAAAAAGATGCTAAAATTATTTCAACACATAGGTGATGATCATTTGGCACTATCTTCATGGATACCTTTACGCTATAAAGTCTTGAAACTACTAAAGACAAACTGTAACATGGCTTAAAGCAGTTGACAAGGTTCTAACATACATGCTAAATTTTAACCTAATTTCCTCCTTTACTGTAAGTATGCAGTCATGGTTCGTATTACTAGGGAGTTAGAATCGATTTCACGAGAATCATTTCCAAGTGTTAAGACTTTTAACTGCTTTGTTATCTAATTAATCAAAAATTTTTAACTAAATAAAATAACCACAGTGCTAAAACAATGTAACAAAAATTAACAAATTATAGAAAGTCAACCAAACACAAATGTTTTAGGGTATAGAATCTACTAAATGTACCTAATTATGGATAAAATAATCATGATCACTAATGCACTTGTCTTGCTATGGATGCATTTCACTCAAACTATCGGAACTCGCTCTTGCCATCTAGCCACCACTATAGTTTCCCTACTTTCGTGCTGAAGTCACAAGTGAAGACTTAATCTAGATCTAAAAATGCCAAAAACATCCACCTAAGTGTACCATTACTTTCGTATGCCAACTCCTTAGGCTCCACATATTCCATTTCCATCATTGTCAACTATATTCATAGATTAACAACAACTATTGTGGTTTACAAATAGCAATCAAACATTCACAAGTGTTAAGCCAAGAATAGATGAACTAGCAAGTAGATATAGCAATAATCAACTAGATTCAATTATAATTAAGGCACAAATAGTTTCATCTATCCCTAGAACAAGAAAATTTAGCTAGACATAGTAGATTTAACAATAAAACTCAAATTTTCAATGTAACTAAGCATTAATGAAACAATAAAGAGAGTAAAGAGACAGAAATGTTTATTCAAGTGAAAAAACAAGATTTTCAAGTTTCATCATTTTCGTTGCCATCAAAAATACTTTGTTACACTAAGAGTTCTTCAGGTTCTTTAAGAAAAATAAAAACTAGTTCTAAAACTACACTAATTAAGCTAAGTTAGAGAGGAAAGAGAAGAAGTTGTTCTTGTTTTTGGCCAAGAAGTAATCTTTCCCCCCCATAATGCGTTTCTTTCTTGCTAAGAGTCAACAAAATAAGTTTCTTAATCCACCAAAAGTTGGTACAAGTTGTCCCTTTGAGTCTTGTCAAATATGGAAAAAGAAACAAAAGTCATATAAGTTGGCAAATTGCAGTTGTGACTTATCCCTCGAGGGATTCTTCCAGGGATTATGCAGAGCATGTAATTCTCTGCTTTTCTTTTTGACGTTAACATTCTGCCCATAATCTCTTGCAGAATCCCCTGAATAACCCTCGAGGATTTCTTTTTTTTTTTCTTTTTAAAGAAACATTCTTCAATTGCACCACCTCTTTCTCCAGACTTAGATCCTATAAAAGAGTTATGGGTCTGGATAGTATTGGATTTTCTATAATCTATATCCAAATTCAAACCCATATCAGACCTTACCCAAACCTATATATATATATATATATAAATTTCTAAAATATTTTAATATTCTATGGTCTTTGAATTGAATATAGTAAGATTTCATGATTGTTTTCTTATTTCAAGCTAATCCTAGTTAACATTGTAATTAGTACAAACTTTTTTAGAAAAAGGAAAAAAAGTAAAAGCAAACAAATAAAAGATTGGACGTAAATACAGCTGAATTTTAAAAATAAATAGAAGCAGTCGATAATAGTCATTTTTTCAGTTCATAATATTGCATTCAACTTCTTGAATATTAATTTTATTATTTGAAAATAAAATTCGGATGGTGTTTATATATTTTTTTAAATCTATATATTTTTACTTTAGTGTGTTTAGAAAAATACAACGGATACTCATTGGATACCCAAATCTATGAGCTTTTAGGTTTGGACTTGTTTTTTCAGGCCCATAAGGGTCTGGATTTAACTAAATTTAATGTGTCTAGATCTGAATTAAATGATCAAATCCAGACCTTACCCATTGTATTGCCTAAGCACAATGATCTAGGATTAGAATGTCTTGAGTCTTATCACTCCGTCACAACTATTTAAGGAAATACTTTGTTGCTCATATATATATATATATATATATATATATAATATTTTTGGCTATTATTCTTCTATACTCAGTCACAACTTTGTTGCTCTTGCCATCTAGCCACCACTATAGTTTCCATACTTTCGTGCTGAAGTCACAAGTGAAGACTTAATCTAGATTTAAAAATGCCAAAAACATCCACCTAAGTGTACCATTACTTTCGTCTGCCAACTCCTTAGACTCGACATATTCCATTCCCGTCATTGTCAACTATATTCATAGATTAACAGCAATTAAACATTCACAAGTGTTAAACCAAGAATAGATGAACTAGCAAGTAGATATAGCAATAATCAACTTGATTCAATCATAATTAAGGCACAAATAGTTTCATCTATCCCTAGAACAAGAAAATTTAGCTAGACATAGTAGATTTAACAATAAAAATCAAATTTTCAATGTGACTAAGCATTACTGAAACAATAAAGAGAGTAAAGAGAAAGAAATGTTTATTCAAGTAAAAAAACAAGATTTTCAAGTTTCATCATTTTCATTGCCATCAAAAATACTTTGTTACACTAAGAGTTCTTCAGGTTCTTTAAGAAAAATAAAAACTAGATCTAAAACTACACTAAACTAAGTAAGAGAGGAAAGAGAAGAAGAAGTTGTTCTTGTTTTTGGCCAAGAAGTAATCGTTCCCCCCAATAATGCGTTTCTTTCTTGCTAAGAGTTAACAAAATAAGTTTCTAAATCCACCAAAAGTTGGTACTAGTTGTCCCTTTATGTCTTGTCAAATATGGAAAAAGAAACAAAAGTCATGTAAGTTGGCAAATTACAGGTGTGACTTATCCCTCGAGGGATTCTTCCAGGGATTATGCAGAGCATGTAATTCTCTGCTTTTCTTTTTGAAGTTAACATTCTGTCCATAATCCCTTGCAGAATCCACTGAATAACCCTCGAGGATTTCTTCTTTTTTTTTTCTTTTTAAAGAAACATTCTTCAATTGCACCACCTCTTTTAGACATTGTGATGACTTCTCAAACTTCGCTTTGTTAGATCACCATTTCACTTCCAATTAAACTTGATCATTTTACCTACAAAAACAAAGAGATTTTACAAGTCAAATGATAAAATCACAACTAATTCAGCTATTACTCGAGGTGCAAATTAAAATAAAAAATGCACAACTTATACTAATCAATCTACAAATTGACTCAAAAGTATTATGAAACACATTCAAAAAGATCATAAAATTAATCATTATCAAATGAAACAACAAAGCGAGTAAAGAGGAAGAAATGCTCGTTCAAGTGAAGAAACAAGATTTCCAAGTTTCATCATCTCCATTGCTATCAAAAATACATTGTTATATTAAGATTTTTTCAAGTTTTTTCAAGGAAAATAAAAACTAGATCTAAACTACACTAAGCTAAGTTAGAGAAGAAAGAGAAGAAAAAGTTGTTTTTCTAGCCAAGAAATTAAACTCACCCTCCAATAATGTATTTCTTCCTTGCTAAGAGTCAAGAAAAGAAGCTCCAAAGAGTCAACAATTTTTTAGATTGCTAGATATTTTTTTTTTGCAACGGTAGATTTTGTATTGATTGGCAAAAGATGTACACTTATATGAGCAAAGGCTCAAATAGTTCTATACAAAAAGTGTTAGACATACTGAGGATTGATCCATTCCTCATCTTAAAATATGCCTAAAGCATAATCACTAATCAATTCACATCTAGAATCTAACCTCCTATCTAAGCAAAAGGAGCATTTTTGGAATAAAAGCTCTGGGATTGTTAATATCATCAGTCAAAGTAGCCATTTTGATATCCTTGGCCATCCCTTTCGTTATCACTTTCAACAGCTGAGGGCTGAGTATATGTATTGTAATTTTCTGCCATTGCTGTTGTCTGGCCTTTGTGATGGCCATCTTCATTGCTTCTGTGATAGTCTGCAAGTGATTCCCTGTTTTCCTATCAGTTAATGCCCAGGCTGACACCAACTGATGGTTGAAATTAGTTTCTATAATCCCAGTACCAACTCTATTGGTTTGTTCTTGCACATGAGTTGATATTCTGATTTGCATTTCATCCCTTCCTACCTCTTCTGGTTCTACTACCTCTCTGTCTCTTTCAGCATCCTCAGGGATCATTTTCTCTTTCCTCCAAGCTGATGCTTGCTCTTGCCATTCCTGTTGAGCTTTTTTAACTGTTTTCCAAGGATGCCTTCGTTTGGCATTGAACTTCCATTCGTTTCTTCTTTTCCAGATTTGCCAAAGGATATTCACAGTTAGCTCTACATGTTCCCTGCCCTCTGTCCTGCTTGTAGCTTCCAGCATAGCAGTCCACCAAGCTATTATATTCCCTATCTGTTTAGTTAATCTATCCCACTGTATTGGAGCCATCTTCCACACCTCTTGAGCTCTGCTGTATTGAAAAGACATATGTTCAGTTGTCTCTTCCTGTTCTCCACAGCCATCATAGATTGGATCCCCATGGTGTATTCTTTTGAACACCAGGCCATTAACTGGTAATAGACCATTTAGACTTCTCCAGATGAAGTGTTTTATCTTGCTTTTGACCTTCAGCTTCCACAACCACTTCCATTGCTTTCCATTGGAGTTTGCTGAGCTCATTTCTGCCTCATCATATCTTCTTCCCTTGTGTTTAGTTGTTTCTCTGCACAGTGCCTTGTATCTTGAGTTGACCATTGATGGGTATTTTACATATATGTACAAGTTAAAAAATCGAATTACACCCGTTCACTGCAAGTATACAGATCAACTAGTAGTTTAGGGTATATATCGGGTCGATCCCACAGGGAAGAGTGAACAATTACCGGTATTACTAAAGCTTCTCTATTATTTAGACTATCAATGAATTATAACAAATTTAACCTACTGAAATTATACAAAATAACAAATAAAAGCTCCTTAGGTTGTGGTATCCCTAACTACTCATGCAAGTGCTATATTTGGGTCATTGAGTACTACATCTAAGCTAGTTATGGTGTAATTTCCTTAAACATGTGACACCTACTTTCGTAGTGAATCAACTATACTCATAACTAATCAATACCTATTTTTATGGTTATGAAATTAGTTACATTTCTTCAATGAAATTACATGAAATGAATCACTAAAAACCACATAGTGCACCTCTACTTTCGTGAGTGTACTCCCTATATTTAGCACTTCTTGAACTAGTGTTAAATCTCAATTTTCATTGCAGAAACAACACCTTAAATAATCACAATCAATGGTACCAGATTAATCATGATTTAAAGAGTCAAAGTGCTAAATAACTTGCTCAAATCATAGCAATCAAATAACCAAATAATAAACACTAATAATCATAGAAAATTCAACCAAACCCAAGGTATAAACTTTAAAAACACATAATGAACACAAAATCCAAAACTTGTATATTAACCAAACTTAGAATCAAGTACAAAAGATAAAGAGTTTGGAAGGAATACAACCCTTGTCACATGAGCTTTCTTCCTTGCATTCTTCATCCTCCATCTTCTTCTTCATCTAGCTAATAACAAGAATGGATGAACTATCCTACTCTATACTAAGCTACTACTACTACTCAGAAAATGCAAGAGCTACATCTCTACACTCCAAGTTTCTCCCGTATGTCTCTCTATTTCTCCAATCTTGCAATGAATTTGGCTATATAAAGATGAAAGATTGGTCAAAACTTGAGATTTACACCACCCTTTTACAGTTGGAAATATTTCTCACATGTCTAGCATCGCATGTGAGTTGGTGGAGGTGAAATTGAGTTTTACGCGTACATAGCAGCCTTCTCTGACCTCAATCCGGCCAGAAATCCGGCCAAATTCCGGCCGGATTGCTACAGTGACCATTTGGTCACTTCTGGTTCAATTTTCAGCTCTGCTCTGATTTTGCATAAACTTCCACTGAACTTTTCTTGATGATAAAAGCTGATTTAGCTCTTGACCAAAACATGAAACTTGTCGCCCTTTGAGTTAGCTTTCCAATGCATCAAGAATCACCTCATTTGGATCTGTGTAGACTGAGAAATGATCAAAATAGCCTTGCCTGCTCATTGCCCTATTTTAGCTTCGACCAGTAGAAATTTGCTACTGTAATTCAGCTTTTTGACTTTGAAAACCTTCAAACTGGATTTAGATGTCTTCACTAAAGTTGTAGATCTATCTCTTATCTTCAAATTAGTTCAAGAATCATCCCAATCCGATCATTGTAGCTCAAGTTATAGCCGAAATACTAAAATGTGTCAAAACTGTCAAAATACACAAAATCCAAGTAAAAAGTGATAAAAGCTCATTTAATTATTTAAAAGCATTTTTCACCAATTATAGCCAAAATGATTCATTTTCTTCCAATAATATAACTAAAGTGACTAAAAATAATATAAAATATCATACAATTATTACGTAAATTAGTCACTTATCAAACTCCCCCACACTTGAATCATTGCTTGTCCTCAAGCAATCCACACATAATCAACTACAATAATTCAAGAGGTGAAACAATATATGCACTTTGTCCAATTTAATTCCTCAAGGCTTGGAAAATAATCATTATACAATTGTTCAAATTACACTAAATACTCATAATATCAAGTAAAGGAAAGATAATTATACCCTAATTTCAACAAGTTAAACTTAATCTCTTACCTTAATTTAATTTTACAAATAAGCAAATCACATAGTCAATTTATAGCCTTCCTCCTCCTATAATCATCTTTTTCTCAAAATTCTATAACTAAGAGGGATTTATTCATACTAATTTTACTTAAATAGTGAAAATGCCTTTTTACGCGAAAATCGACACTTTTAGGTGAAGATCCCCGGTTACTTAACATTTCACTTATTCAAGTTGCTATGCATACTCTTAATTCAAGTAACTTTTTACGCGAATATCGACATTTGTAGATGCTAACCCCCGGTTACTTGGTACGAGAATCATTGGAGTAGAACAATTTTTATTTACTTTCTTTTCTCTTTTTTTTTTATTTTTCTCTCTTTGTTTTTTTTTCTTTTTCAAAAAGAAAGGAAAATAAATAGATATTCCCTCTTAGAAAATATATAAGAATAATCAAAGGAGGAGTATAACCTTTATCGACTATATCAATCACTTACTTGCAAAATTAAGTAAAGAGAAGAAATCTCATTAAACATGTAAAATTATAAGCATAATTTTCCTCACTTTATCGAATATACTTTCTAAAATGTAAAAATTCTAATTGCATAATAACTATTTCCAAGTTAAATGAGGACTAAACCTTCCAAAATACACATAAAGTTTCAATAATTGGAAGAATTAGACACTTAAGGTTGGAATACTTTGGCCCTTTTTGAATGCAAATGCAAAAATTGAAGAACTTTTGGGCCATAGTGAAATATTGGAAAAGATTTTAGAAAAATTTTTACAGAGTTTCTTCTTATAAATGGATGAAAACTCCCTGCCAATAAACTCAATTTCAGGCAAATTATCCACATGGCAAATAATTCACACACAATTCCAACATTTCTCAGCATTTATATCCACAAAATATCATCACATGGCAAATAAATGTAAGTCCAATATTTTCCTCCCCCACACTTAAACTTCACATTGTCCTCAATGTGAGAAAAGGAAAATAAATAAAGAGTAAAAGAAAATACTCCCCTTATGGCAATGTGATGAATTTCCAACCGTATTTGAGAAAGAATGGAGAGTTCACTTATTGCACCCTAAAAAAGACAAAATCAAAACAAATAAATTTCTTAAAAATAAAAGGTTGCAATCAACAAGAAGAAAACATGCAAGTCAAGGAAAAAGGAAAAATGATCAAGCATGTGGAACCATACAATGTTCATGGGAAAAAAAACATGAAATAGGCTAATCTTTGCTAATCAAATATATGCATTAGTATCCAAAGCAAAGGGAAGCTAATTTCACACAATAAATGCACCATCACGAACAAAGTAAGTTCCATTTATATATTTTATCATCAATGATCAAGTCCCCTCAAAAGTACAAAAGTAATTTCAAAATGGAGGCAAACACACCAAAACAAAATAGAAATGACCTTCGTGAGAATTCATGAAATACTAAAAACCATTGAACCATAAAGATTTTAAGTGCATTTATGAATTTCATCAATTAATGCCATCTCCTCTTCTTTTAGAATTACCTAAGAATTCAAGAAATTATTCAACCAAGCACCTTTTCATTCATTAGGTAATCTAAATTACTCACATGAATATCATAAACTCCCTCAAAACTAATTAAAATGCAACATTGACCACTTAATATGCAACTTTGTCACCAAGCCAAATTAAGCATAAAATTAGCAAAAATTCATCAAATAATCACAAACCCATGAGTTAAACATCACCAATAATCATGAATAAGTTCAATAAGCACAATGTAAAGCACCAAACTTCACAAAATGAAAAAAATTCGAAATTACCCAAAAATTAAAAAAAAGTGATAAATGGCAAAATTCAAATGACAACATTTGATGAGGATTTGTTACCTCAAACTTGTTGGTTGATGATTATGGATGCAAATGGTGAAGAAACCCCCAAAAATTTTACTCCAATTTGGCCTCAAATGGATAGTTCAAATATTTGAAACCCTTGTTCTTACTAAGGTCAAATCCAAATTTAGACTTGTTTTTGAAGAATTTTTAGCTATGAAATCATCTCTCAAGCGAAAAGGGAGTGTTTTGGTATAGTTGGTTTGAAGATTGGATGGTGAAAAGAGTGAGTTTAGTGAGTAGTGTGTGTTTTAGGTGTGAGTGTGTGTGTAAGTTGAAGAAGCGAGGAAGAAGAAAATGGGGAATCCGTGCGCGAATTCCTCTTTTTGTGCAAAACTGGCTAGAATCCGGCCATTTTCCAGCCGGATATCCGGCTGGATTGTCGGCCGGATTCTGGCCAGTAAGCAAAATATTTTTTTTTCGAAGTCCCCTGTATATCCGGCCGTAAATCCTGCCGAAAATTGGCCGGATTTTGCTGCAAAAAATTTTCTGATTGCAGAAGTGGATCCGAGCTCGGATCCGTTGATTCTGCATTTATTGCAGAAATTTCTGCAATTTTCAGTTTGACCCCAATTCAAAACACACTCTCCAATTCGTGCTCTACAATGAAATTTTTAACAATTCAACACTTCACACACATGGAAAGTGACTTAAACATGAATCTCAGCACCTCAAATCAAATAAAAAACATGTAAAATGGAAATTGAGGGTTGAGGTTCTTAGATCAAATAGTCCCCTCGACACTTCCAATGCACATGATGGTGCTCAAATGGTTCAAAAGAGTGCAAATAGGTTATGAACACAATTAAACACTTGAATGTACTTCAACTCCATACAAATAATTAACTTAACCTCATAACATGAAATTAAGTATTGTAAACTCAAAAATGAAGATTAAGCTTCCCTTTTTCACATCGGTTTCCACTCCTTACAAACTCTTTTGCACTTGAAATAATTTGCATGAACCCTTACCATTGCCACCTATAAAACACACAAAAACACTAGTTTAAACAACTTAAACTTACTAAAAACAAGAAATCGTTGGGTTGCCTCCCAACTAGCGCTTCTTTATATTCATTAGCTTGACTATATTACCTCAATTTTCAAGGAGGCTTAGTTAACGAATAATCCACCATTTTTTGATGTGGTGGATGATAAGTGACTAATTTACGTAATAATTGTATGATATTTT